GTGTGTATTTTGCTGTTTGCAAAAAGATATGCACTTTCATTGTTTTTTTTTAAGACTCTTGATAATTTCGGAAGACCTAACAAGTTATCAAAATAAATCTCACATTACAGCAAGTTGCTGAAGTCTTATTTAAAGATGTAATAGCTTTGTTTAATCTTTTGACTAGCTGACTTTTGAAAACTACCTTTTTATTACTAATATTCCCCTTTCCTTAATAGTCCTTTTTGTATGGTAGGAGCCTCCAGGTTATACTTTCATAGGTATGTTTTAGCCAAGTGATATAAGTAGATTATTTTTAACAATGAATTTCTTCATTAGTTACTTCATGGTTGAAGAAGATATATTTTTTAGAAATAAAAAGAAATATAAAGAAAAAGGGTAGAACATAATCTTTTGATTTGGGGGAAAATATTGACATGGTAGCTAGGTACATCAAATGGGAGAATAAAGGAAAACAAAGTAGAGTATTTTCAGTTAATGGCTTCAGACATGTAACTATTTAACTCATTAGTTACGTTACTGTAATTGTATCCACAAAAAATAGGTAAGTTGTTTTTTTTGCTAACTGGTTACAAGACACAGTCTTATTATTTCTTTGACTTTAGGAAAGTGCTAAAGTCACAGAAGTAATAAGACTGCTGTGTGTGTGTGTGTGTGTGTAAATATATATATATGAGAATGTGGTGGAGGTGTCTGCTGTGGTTGGCAAGGATTTTTTAGTGAACGTTTAACAGTAGTGTCTGATAAAGTGTTTGTCATCCCCACAGAATTTCCGTTAATACTAATTTAAGTGAAGTCCACATGAAAAAAAAACTATTTATTAAAGGAAAAGATAAAACTTTAACTCACTATCTAAATTGGAATATTTAAAATAATTTACTCCAAGTCTAATTCAAAATATTTAACTTGGCAAGTAAGTTCTGATGTATGAACTTTGTTTGACCTAGCATCATTAAAAAAAAGAACATTTTATGGAAGTCAGAAGACCAACTAATAAAGTAAGTCCTAGCTGAACAAAAGCCACAATGTCTTTCCCCATTTCATTTAACTTGGTTCATTCACTTGAGGATTTCTTCCACCTTCACCAGCCCTGCTCCGCTCTCCCCTTCCATGGGATAATACTGTGCTGTTGTCTTTTGGAAATAGGAATAAATTAAATATCCAAATATGACTTTGAATTTGACAGGCACCAGGTAAATGGAATGATACTGAGTTTTCAGACAGGATTACAATTCTTGTGACCTGAGGTCAGGCAAAGCCAGTTTCAGATTCTTAAAAGCTGAAGCCATGTGAAAGGATGGTAACTTTTTTGTGTGTGTCTGGAAGGAGTTTTCTGATATGATCCATATATACTGTTATGTTTAGTGCCAGCTTTCTGTAGGACAAAAGATGGCCTTAACAAACAAGCTGCTTTAAAGGTCTGAAAAGGTTTCTTTCTCTACCCATTCATTTTTCCAGTTTGCTTTTAGAACACAAAAGAGCCATTTCCCACACTACTTCTTAGAGACTGAACTTAAATTATAGTAGGCAATGTATTCTCAACATCTGAGAGGAATAAAATGACAAAGGGCATATTCTTCTTTTAGACTTTTCCCAAGACTGTCTTTTGAAGGGGAAAAAGATACACTTTCTTATGAAGGAAGCACGTTTTGCCTAAACATCAGATAGAATAACTTCCACAGTAAAAACACTGCTTCATTAGAGAGAAGTCATTTGTCTGCAGTGCTGAATCTCGCACAACAGCCTGAAAACCAAATGAAATGAGGGGAGGGAGTCTTACCCTTTCCTTGAAACTTAACATCAAGGAAGCTTTTCTTAACCAACACTTAGTATAGGTAAAATTCAAGCAGTAATTCAATATCTTTGAACTTTTATCTAGACGAATGAATAGACAGTTGCTAAAATGGAAGCAGCCTTGTGAGCATGCATAAACAGTCACAGATTTAAAACTAAACCAGAAAGTAAAATTTAATAAAATTATAAAATGAACATTTAAAAAAGGAGTTTTAAAAAATCTTTAAGGAACTTACCTCCTTTTGGTAGTGAGGAACCTTTTTTTATTTGTCTAACCTTAGAAAATTATGACACCAGGATGGAAGATTTTGATCTTCCTCTGAATACTTTCACCTACCCCCCCCTTGCCCTCCCTCCCCACTAAGGCATGAAATCTATTCTGAAGTATGTGCCTACCCTAGTACTAAACTAGCACTTGGTATTGCGGGGGGGAGGGAATAAGAATAAGAGAATCATCGGAGTCAGTCTCTGACCTTTTTGTAGTCGGAGAAAGCCAAGGTGCATTATGGGTCAGCTGTTAAATAGAAATACTCTAGATGTTAAAAGTCTGTCAAACTACCAAGGATCTCTATTCTTGCTTATTTGAATTTTCTAATAGTTTACTGTGAATACTTGAAACATGAAGAGTTTTATATAAATCTTTTCTGAGAATGTGAACAATGAAATGATAGTTTCCAATCACCTGAGGTTTAACGTCTAGATTTTTAAACTCCAATAAAAAAGATGAATTTGAATAAGAAAAAATAGGAAGCTTAGAGATACCACCTTAAGAATCATAATAAATTAGGACTGAAAGGGACGTTCAGAGGTCATCCAGTCCAGCCTCCTGCTCAAGGCAGGATCATCCCTGACTAAACCATCCCAGAGAGAGAGAGATAGCATGTTAGTCTGAAGTTAGGTAGAAGGCAAGACCAGAGGCAGGCAATTATTTCAGGTGGAGGCCTGCTTACCAAGTTTCAGGGAGCTGTCGAGGGCTGCATAGGTAGCCCTGCCCCCAGTTGCCATATTGGGCCCGAAATTCTTGCCCCCAACCCCTGACCTTTGCCACCAGACGTCCCTCCCCCTGCCCCAGAAGTACTCCTTTTGGGAGGGAGAGTGCTGCAATCTTGAAACCAGAAAAAAAAACCCAAATTATATACCAAAAAAAAAATCTACTATAATTTATTTTAATTTATTTAAAAATATTTCTGTGCTTATTTATGTGTTTACATAATGTATCTAGAGGTCACTGCATAATAATTCAAAATACAGTCCTACTGTATGTTGTGTGTGGGCAGTAAGGACGGAGTATGTGTCAGGTGTGAGTGTGGTGAGGTGTGGGTATGGTGGGTGGGTGTGGGGTATGTGGGAGAGTGTAGGGTTATGGCGGGTGGGGTGGGAGAGAGACAGGGCCGGACTACCGGCTCTTTCGCATGCAGCTCTAGCAGACTGCATGCAAGCCTCATAGGAATGCAGCCAGACAGACCACACACCCAGACCAATGAACAGATATAATAGCTCTCAGGACAAGACAGCTAAGATGGCACAGACCTAGGGGAGAACTATCACCTTGCACTTCTGGCCTGCCATCATCCTATGCCTTTCCCCTGCCACCATCCTTCCCAGACACCCTCCCCTCATCTTCTCAGTACTCGGTGTCCAGCTGCCTAAAGGGAATGTCTGAAGCCCCTACTCCAGCATTGGAAATAGCTCTGGGATATAGCCTAGGATTCCTAGAGGACTCAGGAGGTAGGGTCAGGAACTCAACCTTGCAGAATCTCAGACACTTAA